AAAAAAAAAAAAAAAAAAAAAAGCAGAGGGTGCAGACGAAAAGGGGCCACTTGATACGGCAACACCACAGGAACTCCGGATGCCGCCTCTGGAGGTGGAGGTGTGTTTCCCTGGCAATGCTTGGATTCACCGAGGCTGAAATTCTTAATCTCACTTACTATCCTGGTGCCAGCTGGCTTCTCTCTCATCAGAAGCTTTCAAACATGAGAAAACACTCACAGATATTAGTTCTACCACGCTGGCAACAAGCGCCAAAGCTTTCCTTTCCTTTCCAATTAGATGTATTCCTAGAACGATTCTCAGTCTCCAATCCTGAGAGACACGGGCCTAGGCAACGACTGTCCAGGGAGTGTCCTGAGGGCATGCAGACCAACTATATCCTTACAGAACTGGAAGTCAGGATTGTACAGTGGTGGCCAACCAAGGGCCGTAATGTGGATGAGAAATGACTCGGTCGTGGCGTGCTGCTGAGCCAACTCGTTCAGGTCTAGCCCGTAATGTACTGTTTACTCTACTGCCACCTGCAGTCATCAACTGCATCCAGGGTCCCAGTCACTGCTCTTGCCAAGCCCCCACACTGGGGCAAAATAAGACCCTAAATGAGGCCTTTAGATCAAGGGTTATGAGGCACCTACCGCTCGTTCTCGCTTTAAAATAAAGATCAACTCAGAGAAAAAAGGGGGAGAGGTGACTGGACCTCGATGATGCCTCTGTTTCTTTTCTTTCTAGAATATCTTCTTTTCCATAAAATGTTGGGACCCACTCCATGCATTGCTGTAAATGACCTGAGCCCTTCACGTTAATGACTAAATAAGCGACCTAAGATTCTGTGGATGGTCCCTTCTCTGGGGAACCGTCTCTTGGAAGAATTTAAAGTCGTTTCTTGCAAGAGGAATGATAAAGCCTAGTGAGTTTCTGAATAGTGAAAATTTTTAGGAGGCTATGAAAGGAGGCTGGATTTTGGGAATGCAAGAGACAGTCCATGTTACTTTACGTGACAGACGTGTACCAACGGTGACATCGAGGTCTCACTGTACCACAGAATGGGTACCATGTGCATCAGTGCCCAGGGAGATGGACACACCCCACAGGTTCACCCAGACAATGCCAAGGGGTATAAGAAGACCCCCACTGGCAGACTGACCCATGGCTGGGAGTCGATTTTAATCCAGGCACATCATTGCTAAATTGTGGGTAAGTAGATACCTCAATTTTAAAAGGCTTTTCCTATCCATTTAAGATAATGTCACCGAGCTGAAAAGGCTTTGGACCCTGGGAGAGAAATCCTATTGACACTCAACTGCTCCAATTCCCTCATACGTCGTGGTCTTATCCTTCACTGCACAGAGCATCCTTTCTAGGTGATTATTTTTAAATGGGAGCGTCCTTTTTTTACTCAGATCTTTTCATACCTGCACGGTGTGTCCACACAACTCAAGTTCCAGCCCACAGAAGTGAAGAGCAATAGTGCCTTCTGTTTGGAGTGAGGATTTCCTAGTAAGAGGGATGGACACTCACCACTAACAGACACAGCTGGATGCAGCCAGTGGTCCCTGTCACTGATCCATTATCATAAAATAATTGTCCCCGAACTTAATTTCTACAGGTGATTCGAAACACTTAGCCAAAGGAAAAAAAAAGAAAAAAGGAGAAAACGTGAGTTCTCAACTGGCTATGATTTATTTACTCCATTCTGTGCTCAGCAGGGGCGGGGTACCCAAAATCACATCTGGGAAATACAGGGGCTAGAAATGAGGGCTCATTTGGGTGCAAGAGGGCTAAAAGGTGGCCAGAATGGTCAACATGCACACAAAAGCAAACACATTCTTACATTTTTTAAAACAGCATTTTGCCTTCCGTTGCCACAAATGTAAGGAAATGCTTACTCAAAGGTCATTGAAGAAATGCATGCTGACCACTCAAAATCTTAGCATGGAGAAGCCCTTTAAGCATGAGAATAATTTAAGAAGGACAGAAAAGATCAACTGTTGAGCCCACCAACCCGTCAGCCACCCCCAAACTAGCTGGGAGAAGGCAGGTCCTCTTGTCACATGCCCAACGACCCTTGTAGAAAATACCATACCAAACACCTTTATTTGGCTGACTTGTGAGTATTTATTCCTGAGGGATTCAAAGAGCAATTAAAAGGTTAAGTATTGTTGAAGGAGAGAAATGAAAACCTTTTTGCCTTTTTTTGATATGGTGAAAGTCCGAGAGAACTGAATCACAGCACAACTAATGGTGCAAATACACTATCGCCCTCAACACAAGTGTGCCCTGTGCTTTCTTAGACACTTTGTAAACAAACACCCCCGCTGACGAGGGAAACGGTTTACTCACTTGACGTTGAAGTCCAAATGTCTGGGGAAATCTATTTTGCCTGCAAGAATTTTCTGATAAATGCCAAAGGGGTTGTCATCAAAAAACGGAGGAAACCTGGGAGAGAGAGAAATATCTCTTTTCAGTGGAGAGCGTGAGGGGAAAGAGCCCTGCTTTGGAATGATGACTTTCTGCTGGGCACAGAAGGAAATTTAATGCGCGGGCGCGTCTGCCACCACATGCTGGAGTGTCAGACCCTAGAGACGAAGCAGGAAGGGATGGTGCTAAGAGGTCAAGGGTGAAGCGCTGCCCACCAGCAGGGAAAGGGTTAGCAGAGAGGAGGCGAGGACAGGCAGACCACCGGGGGTTGAATTCCTGGTCTTTCTTACATGTCCGGCCATAGGAGGCGCACCACGGCTATTCAGTAAGTGTGTACATGCCCGGCGGAACAGGATGGGTTACACTCTCTTCTGGGTTCTTTTTTCTTGTCCTGGGTCGTCTATATTTTATAGAAGCTGAGAACTGAATCTCCAGTACAAATCCACTGAATTCACCCAGGTGATGCTTTGGGAGATGCATGCGGGCCATGTTCGCTGCTCATGGTAACCCTGAAATAACTAAGTGCTCGCTAGCCCAGGGATCGGCAAATTATGCCCCGTACCTTGTTTTTATAAATAAAGTTTTACTGGCACATTGCCACACCCATTCACTTACGTACTGCCTACGGCATAGTTACCACGAATAAAGACTGCAGTCCAGGTATGCAAATGAACAGATGTATCTTTTCTAATACAAGGAAATAGGGGAAAATATCTGAAATAAATGCAGTAAGAAATATACTTAAAACTGCAAAGACCAAGAAAAAACCAAGACCTTCTAGAAGTTTACCAATATGTACCACAAATGCACCCAGGTGCTCCTAGGCTGAAGCTGTACTTTTGTTATTTCCTCCTATTGCCCGATGCAAATACTCTCAGCTCAAAAGAATAATCTCTAAATAGCTTTGCTATGACTGGACCTTCTCCTTCAGTGAAGCAAGCAATAGAGAATCTCATAAAACGCAGTTTCCAAATGACATCTTTATGGATGATGGCATATTTCAAAGTGCAAAAATAATTCTCCTGTGGATTCTAAATCAATTCCTTCCATCTTTAAAGGAAAATAGGAGTACAGAGGGGTGGAATGGTGGCCTCCAAAAAGATGTGTCCATGGTATTATTACCCCAACACTCTTAGTTTGAAAGTCATTGCAGATGTAATTATGGGAAGGACCTGAAATGAGGCTGTTGTGGATGAAGGTAGCCCTGCACCCAGGGACAGGTGTCCTCATAAGAGACAGAAGAGGTGATACACAAACACAAGAGAAACCACATGGACATGGAGGCAGTGATGGGAGGGACAAGCCCAGGGCCACCTGCAGCCCCCAGACGCTGGCAGAGGCAGGGAAGAGCCTCCCCTGGAGCCTGGGGAGGGAGCAGGCCCTGCCCCGCCTGGACCTCAGACGTCTGGTCTCCAGAACATGGACAGATAAATTCCTGTGGTTGTCATTCCCCCTATTTGTGGCCATTTCTTTGGGCAGTTATAGGAAACTAATACACAGAGTGTGCACATTAATTTCCAAGTCAATTACAGAGAGGAGCAGAAACATTTAAAAAGTAAAGAACAGGAGGATGAAATTGAAATAAAAAATAGTGAAGTTGAGGGAGGAGAGACAGTAATGAGGAAAACAAGTTGTTCAGGCAATGTAAAAGTGCAGCTGTGTGCAATGTGGCAGAAAATAGCCCTTTTTTTCTTAAATGACATTTCCGTTTCACACCGTGGCATAAAGAGAGGCACTGTGTCGAGAGGGCAATACAGCTACTTTGGCCACTGTTGCTGCGGTTCGGTAGCGATGCACAGACCTCCCAGGCCAGGCTGCAGGGAAGGTGCACGTGCGGGCGGGCGGCCAGTTCTCGCGCACCGTGAACGCCTTACAGTAACGCCTCCAAGGCTGCCCTGCCCTGTGTGCCAGACACTCTAACAATGGACGGGGGACTCATATTCCCTTCTTGGGTGGGGCCCTTTCTGAGGACACTTGGCTGCATGGCTTCATCGGGGAAACGTACACGTTCAGCAATGGAACACTGAACACCGGGAGAAAATGTGTCATACGCACCTCAAAACACTTACGAGAAATATTACAGTCTCCCGGGAAGCGGGCAGCCTAGGACAGGATCCCAGGTACAACGGCAGTAGTTTGATGAGCAGAAAAAATAGCAATAAATGAACAGCCGCAGACTTCATCTTCAGAGCACATGAGAACTGACAGTCCCCAGGCATGTGGGACGTGCCCTAAGAAAGCACCCAGTCTGTGCTGCTAATCTAACAGAATCCTTCCTATTCTTAACAAACAGGCAGTGAGTGCCTGTCCCACAGGAAGGGGGTGTCATAAGCGACGTCAAGTTATCCACAGGGAGGCTCGTCATCAAAGGGACAATCTGTCTGCCTGCGAGAAGGTGCGCTCAAGAATTTCATCTTCAAATGTCATGCCTCACCTACCCTTTTCTCCATGCCCATTTTTCTATGAGCATCCAAGCTTTCTACACCTCCCTGTACAATGGACCCCCCAGGGGAAACGTGGGATAACTTAGGTCTCTAGGTAGTTCTGCTCATTTCAGGTTCCTTATCAGACTCAGACACCCCGTTACCAAAACTGGGTCCTAGACAATTAGACACTGTGTGATCAGCCCAAGTCATGAACGGGGGCAGCCCTCGGAAGGCAGGTCCTTTGGAAACAGGTTCAAGAACACCAGAGAGTTTTTGGAAAGAAAATAGAAGGGGAAGTGCTATTGCCATCACTGAGTTTTTGACTTGTTTCTCAAAGATCCTTACGTGGATAAAACATAACATCTGCGTCCCTCAGGAGAAGCGGCAAGAATAAAGGGCCGGGCTGGGTGTGCCCTGGGGCAGAGGGGAGGGTAAGGGGCACCCTTCTGGGGCACGGCAGCCGTGGTTCTCACGTGCGGTCCCAGCAGCCCTGTCCGGGAGCTTTGGGAGGCCCTGCCTCTCAGTATACATCTGCAGGGGGATGGATTTTCTTCTGTATCTTAACAAAAACAGCACATTACACCAGGCAGGGTCCGGGAGAAGACGGGAACATCAAGCGGTCAGAGATGAGACTAGGCTTTAAAAAGATGATTAGGAAAAATGGAAAACGAGGTCAATATTCCCAGTCAATATTTTTAATTCTAGGAAGTATGGTTATTTCTTCATTAATAAGTCTACTGGTGTTCATCGTTAGTTGATTGCTCTATATGTTTGTATATATATTTCATGTATATGTGAAGTATACGTATTTTAATGAGGTGGGGTTCCAGTTGTGCTGGCCATGGAGAGACAAGAGGCAAGGGACCTGCAGGAGGCTGGGTGGCACAGGTGGGACGGGAGCCCCACATGGCATGTGTGAGGTGCAGCTGGACCACCCGGGACCCCAGGCGGTGGGAGCCCGCTGCCCAGACTGGCTCAGAGCCTCCCACCATAAGGAACACTGGTTCTGTCCCCAGAGGACCGCCAGGCAGGAATGTCAAGGCATGTAGACAGACCCCGTCCACTTCTGCCCGGGGAAAGGGAATCGGGCAGGAGCGGGGGCAGTTGGAGGGGACGACGATGAGCCTCAGGAGCGGGCCAGGCAAGGGCTGAGGCTGAGGGCACTGCAGGCAGAGTCAAGAAATGACCAAGAGGGGTCAGCCAGGCCTGTGCAGGATACGCACCCAGAAAATCCTGACTCGCTCTGAGTGTCAACATGAAACACATCTGTGTGCTGACTGTGAGCATGTAGCCCCCACCTCACACAAGATGCAACGGTCAGTTTGCCAGATTTTGGTCAGGGGAGGAGTTTAATCACTCACCATCATTGTAATAATATAGCTTCATTCCGTATTAGATCCTGCTTATGTCATATGCGAGTCCACTCCCAATATTCTATTAGAATCACTGGAAATATTCTATTGCCAGTATCCTGTTAGATAATACAAATATTCTATTTTGCCCTGTTCTGATATATTTGAGTATCCCAATAGATGATGCCCTAATAATTCTACTATTTTACGTAACTCTAATATATTCTATCGTATCCTATTCTAATTTTACTCCAATAATTTTGTTATATTCTTTCAGTATTATGTTCTAATAGGAACTTATACTCCAATATTGGATTTCCTAGTAATATTCCGTATTGTTATATGCATTAATACTATATTCTATCTTAACAGCAGACAGAACACACAGGACAGTGAACTTCCCCTACTGCGGATTGTCAGACGCCAGGGTTTTTTATCGTCGGGCAATGCTGCCCTCTCGTGGCCAATGACATTACAGAAGGAAAATGCGCCCCAGCTGTAGAGTGGACGCCCATCACCGTGGCCGCCTGAGGATGTACAATCCTTGTACCTTTCTGATGGACTGACCCTGGGCGTGATTTATTTTAACCTTTCGAGTTGCTTGGAACTTCCGGGGTTTGGGGTGTATATTAAGAAATACTAAAATGATAGATATTGATGACAGATACATAGATAGGTGATAGATGATACAGGGATGATAGATGAGATAGATAGATGGATACATACATATACACAGATAGATACACGTACACATAGATAGGTACACGGACATATATATAAACAGATATATACACACAGACACATGGGTAGATAAAGATACATATACACACAGATAAATACATATACACAGATATAAATATACACATATACACGGATAGATAGATACAGAAATACATAGATAGTAGATACCCAGATACACAGATAGATAAGACAGGCAGATGACAACCAGCTGTCTAGACGGACAATAAACTGGTACCTGTCTGTGGCTACAGACATCACAAAAGACTGTCCTCTCTTGTGTCTGGATGAGGGGAAGATGGGGTCTCACAAATCTCACCAAGACAAGGCGTACTTTTCCTTCCTCACACACTGCGTGTTCTTCAAGTCCTACATCATATTTGGCTTATTTATCTTTATGCAACACCCACATTACTCAGCTCTGCTCATGACTCCAAAGAGACAGGAGATTAATACTGTATTCATGCAAGACCAGGCAGTAGACACTGGACAGAGACCTCAA